ACCTTGATGCCGAGGGCATCCTTTTAATTTAAGTGTGTTTTTTTTTTCGTTTTAGACTTGCTCATTTTTGCTTATTTTACGTCTGTATTTTATCCATGCTTGTTACTGCCTTAGTCTAATAACTGCGTAGGACTATCACTCACAGCGATCAGTTAGTTCGCCTCTTGAGTAGTCAAGTGGCGCTGTCTTCGGTAGACGAGACTCAAGGTAGTTGCGGTACTGCCGTTGATTCGTACCTACTTCTCGCCCACACAAGTGTCACAGATCTCGGTAGGACCAAGGCCCCAATAGCCCTGCCTATAGAGATGCCGTGGGTAGGTCTAGGGTACCGTTCTGGAGCTAAGTAATCTGTGCGTGATGAGGATACCATAGGTAACCCTGGAGCACTGTACTGCCGTTGGCTCATACCTAATGCATATTGTTGTTCAATTTTAGATGCAAATTGATGAAGCTAGATTGGAATCGGTAGTAGACGCGTAAGAGCATAGCTTTTAATTGCCGTAGGCAACGCTGCCGTGGCTCACGTTAGTGTGTCCTACCGAAACATTTTATTTGAAAAAATAACGCTCTAAACATGTGCAACTTGGGCTATTCTTATTTCATATATAAGTGCCGTAGGCAAAAAAACAAATTTTGCCCTACCGTTGGCTAAGGGGCTTTACTTAAAATAGCTCTTGAGATGTTCCACATTCCATGGGTGACCGAGGGTTTTCCCATCTGTGCCTCGGAGCCTGTAGATACCGGATCTAAGGATGCCGATGACTTCATAGGGCCCTTCCCAGGAAGGTCCGAGGGTTCCTTCCGTTGGATTTTTGGTTGTGAGCGAGACCTTGCGCATGACCCAGTCTCCAATTTTGAAGGAGCGGGGCCTGACCCTTGAGTCGTAATACCGAGAGACGCGCTGTTTGTATGCTTCGTTCCGAAGGTTTGCTACTGTTCGGCGTTCTTCGATTAAGTCTAGGCTTATTGCAAGTGCAGCCTCGTTCGCCTTTGGTTTGAAACCTTCCGTTCGGTAAGACGACCCGCCGATCTCGACTAGGACCACGGCTTCCAAGCCGAATGCTAGGCTAAAGGGAGTTTCCCCTGTGGAGGTTCGGTAGGACGTCCGGATGGCCCACAGAGCTTGGGGAAGCTTCTCTGGCCAGACTCCCTTGGCACTGTTGAGTTGCCGTTTCAAGAGTTTCTTTATAATTTTATTCACGGCCTCTACCTGGCTGTTCGATTGAGGGTGAGCTGGGGAGGCGAAGAATAGGTTGATTTTGAGGCGAGTGCAGAACTGTCTGAAAAGTTCCGAATCAAACTGTCTGCCGTTATCGGTGATGATGGCGTGTGGGATGCCGAAGCGGCAACAGATGTTGGTCCAGACAAACTCCTCAATCCTCGCTGCCGTTATGGTGGCTAAGGCTTCAGCCTCCACCCACTTCGTAAAGTAGTCAACGGCAACGACCGCATACTTAACCTGTCCCTTGCCTTGCGGCATAGGCCCAATCAGGTCAAGTCCCCACTGGGCGAATGGCCATGGACTCACGATTGGTGTAAGAGGTTCGGCAGGACTGTGTGGAACATTGCCGAACCGCTGGCACTTGTCGCTCCTCTTTACCATTGCAATCGCATCCCGATGCATGGACGGCCAGTAGTAGCCCTGCCGGAAGGCTTTGTGGGCCAGGGATCTGGAACCGGAATGAAGTCCCCACTGGGCGAATGGCCATGGACTCACGATTGGTGTAAGAGGTTCTGCAGGACTGTGTGGAACATTGCCGAACCGCTGGCACTTGTCGCACCTCTTTACCATTGCAATCGCATCCCGATGCATGGACGGCCAGTAGTAGCCTTGCCGGAAGGCTTTGTGGGCTAGGGATCTGGAACCGGAATTATCACCGCAGACACCGCTGTGGATCTCCCGAAGGACATACTCGCCCTGCTCTTCGGTGATGCATTTCATGTAGGGGGCGTGTAGCCGCGTTTGTACAGAATGTCATTGATGACAATGTATCTTGCCGATCGGTAACGCAGCTTTCTCACTTGAACCTTGTCTTCCGGGAGGGTACCGTTCGTTAAGTATATGTATATCGGCGACATCCAGGTGTCCTCATACCGTACGGCACATATGTCAACGGTGGTGGTGCTTGGCTGGGCTAGGATCTCGACTGGGACCTTTCGGCCAATTTTGTCGTTAATTGCATTAGCCAGTCTGGCTAATGCGTCGGCATGGCTGTTCTCTGACCTGGGAACTTGCCGAATCTCGTAGGCCTGAAACTGCCGAAGCAGCAGATGTGCCGATGCGTCCTTTGCTGCGAAATCGGCAATGACCTGGTTGACGATGAGTTGTGAATCACTGTGGATGCTGACCTGCTTAGCCCCCATGGTCTTTGCTAGCTGAAGGCCAGCTAAGAGGGCTTCGTACTCTGCCTCGTTATTGGATGTTCGGAAACCAAATCTGATGGCATATTCTATCTTGGTTCCATCGGGGGCGGTGAGTACTAAGCCAGCTCCGCACCCTTGTTGGTTTGCCGAGCCATCCACGTGTAGGATCCAGATAGGAATTGATTGGTCTAACCGGCTACTGTTCGGCAGGCCTTCCAACGGAGGGGTTTTCCCAGGTTCTGGTGCCTCCGAAGGTGTTAGTTTAGCGATGAAGTCTGACACGGCTTGTCCTTTTTCGGCAGGTTTGGGTTTGAACTGTACGTCTGTTTGTGCCTAATAAATCACGGCCATGAGCTGGCCGAAGGAGCCCCTTTTCTCGGCCCTGGCACTTGCTCGTAAAACTGAAACGCAGCGTTTCAACAAGGTGCTTTGCCTTCCTGAAGACAAAAGAAAAATGCTAAGGCATGATCATCTCGGCCTCGAGTGCAGGCCGAGGCCGAGGCCGAGCAAAATCACGGCCAAAGGCATTAAAGGCGAATCATCACGTGAAAACAGGGTCCCAGGCTTCATTTAATGAAGTAGTGCCTCTGTTTATTGCAGCAAACCCACTGACCACGAATAAGCATTTAATGCACGAGGGAAGGTGGGAAGTGATTGAAGTCAGGATTTGGTGATGAGGATCGAGTGGAGGGTACCGAGGCTTTGCTGACGTAAAAAATCGGTAGCTCTGCCTTCTCTGGTATCCGTATCAGTACTGAGCTGACGGTAGTGTTGGATACCGATAGATACAGAGAGAGAATTTCCCCTGGGAGAGGTTTGGAAAGTAGTGGCGCCCTGCCCATATAGTCCTTCAAGTCTTGAAACGCCTTATCGCATTCGGCAGTCCATTCTATATGACGTTTGCCCCCTTTCAAGGCTTTGAAGAACGGTGCGCACTTGTCTGTGGCTTTGGAGATGAAGCGAGTGAGGGCTGCTACTCGTCCGGTAAGGCTCTGGACGTCCTTTTGTGTCTTCGGCACCTCCATGTCGATTATGGCCCTGATTTTATCGGGGTTTGCCTCGATACCCCTTTGGCTGATCATGAAACTGAGGAATCTTCCCGAAGATACGCCGAAAGCGCACTTTGTTGGGTTGAGTCTCATTCGGTAATTCTTCAAGATGCCGAACATGAGGGATAGGTTCGCCAGATGTTCCCCTACCGTTCGGCTCTTTACTAGCATGTCATCCACATAGACCTCCATCGTGCTGCCGATCTGCTCAATGAAGATTCGGTT